CATAATGGGTTAAGGGATGGAATGCTGCCCTGGACATGGAACATAATGGGTTAAGGTAAGTGATGGAAGACATGGAACATAATTGGTTAAGGGATGGAATGCTGCCATGGACATGGAACATAATGGGTTAAGGTAAGTGATGGAAGACATGGAACATAATTGGTTAAGGGATGGAATGCTGCCATGGACCACATTGGGGTAAGTGATGGAATGCTACCCTGGACGTGGAACATAAAGGGTTAAGGAATTGAATGCTGTTCTGAACTTGGAACATCAGGGGTTAGTAGTCTGTGTGTCAAGCTTTTAGGATTGTGCAGTAGAGCCCAAAACTGCAGTGAGGCCATGGGAACAGTACATCCCTGTTTTGGGGTTTTAATGGTCAGCCAGAACATTTCCTCTGTCTGCCGGAGACACACGCAAACTGTATAAAGCAACCTCTATAGGCTTGGACTGGGCTAGGCTGTAACCAAATCTTGGCCAAATACAATCTGTGCACAGGGCTGGATGGATACAGCAGCATAATCTACGCCGCGGAAAATACACTGAGAATGATGTGATCGCAGGAGACTGGCATCTGACAGGTAACTGTGTACAATCGGTGATGGAATTGTTTTTTCATGCACTGGGTTAATGTTAATCCCATATAATTGTTACATCCCCCCAGCAGTATGCTATGAATTGCTCTGCGTTGTTGGAGTCCTGTGAGCAGGAATGAGCGGTCTGTCATGAACCCAGACCTCGATATTCATTCAGCCCTGCACAAACGCCAGTCTATAAGGTGTTTTCAAAACGCGACGGGTTATAAAAGGTTAATTATTATCTTTCCATCTCTTCTGGGGGTCCTCCATGTGTTAACGCGCCCTCTGGTGGCCATTAGGGACTAGGAACAAATGGTTTAACATATAATCGGATTTACATTGATTATCCTCTAAAGGTCACACCACAGCATCCTTTATAACCGTCAATATAAAATAGGCTCTCCTTACAAAGCGAGAGTGATAGGAATTATAGTCTACAGTCTCTTCATTAAAGCTAGCACCTCGAGTTATGCACATAGGGGGACATTTATCAAAGCAAATGACATGTTGAGATTCATTCTGTTTCATTCGTTTCCATGGTGATTGTTCCTTTTCCGATTTGCCCCAGAATAGCACCTGAATTGTCTTGATACATTTTATCCTGTTTCCCTAACAAGTCAAGTGTGCAAAATTGCAGCAAGTCCAAACAGTAAATAAATGCTAGATTAAAATATTGCACCCCTGCCCAAAAGAAGCAGAAATCAGTGATCAGGTTTCAACTAAATTCAAATATTTGGCAAAAGAAAAAAAAAATAGCTAAAATTTATTGACATTTTTTACATGGCAGAGGAGTAAATAACAGCAAATGCTGATTTTTACTGCCAGTATCCAGATATAATGAAAGAAAAATAATTTAATTAACTGACCTCGATTTTCAGCATTCTGCCCCAGCCATACAAGTACAATAGAACTTACTTAAAAGCACAATGTATTTGACACCATGGGAACCAGTGCCATACAACTTGCAAAGTCTTGTGGAACATAAAACCTTGTGAAAAACTATATCAGCTAATTGCAGTCTCTCTAAAGCTGTTATACACTTCCACTCAGGGGCAGACTGAGAACCCTCAGGGCCCCCAGGCAAAATAAATCAAGGGCCCCCTTACAGGCCCTACCCATACTCTGCAGCAAACGCAACCCTTGTCCCGCCTCCAGCCACACCCTACACAATCTTTAGACACAAGGAACAAAAGTGCAATAAGCCCTTTGAGGCCCCAGTAGAGACTACAATTGAGGTCTAATAGGCCATGGAGGGGGGTCTTTCTAGCAGAGGCTATCTCAGTGTCCTTTAGAGAGTGTGTTAGAAAGAATCCCCTCCAAGGCCCATTAGAGACAACAATGGAGTTTAATAGGCTTGGAAGGGGGTCTTTCTAACAGAGGCCATCTCAGCGTCCATTAGATAGCCCCTGCTGGAAACAGTCGCCTCCAGGCCCCAGTAGAGACTACAATTGAGGGCTAATGGGCCATGGAGGGGATTTCTAGCAGAGGCTATCTCAGTGTCCTTTAGAGAGTGTGTTAGAAAGAATCTCCTCCAGGCCCCATTAGAGACTGCAATGGAGTCTAATGGGGCCTGGAGGGTGGTCTCTCCAACACTCTGGTTCCTATTCACAATATAGCAACACAACATAGCTCGCTGATACCTAAGCCAAGTTGGCTCCTCTTACCTTAATTACTGTTGCTGGCTGGCAGTCTGTGGGCTTGCTGGCTGCTGCTGGCAGGCTGTGGGCTTGCTGGCTACTGCCGGCAGGCTGTGGGCTTGCTGACTGCGGCTGG